AAAGAGGGCAACTCGGCAGGCTCATAAGTTTTGCTTTCAATCGTCATCTTCATCGTCGTCATCCTCGTCATCTTCTGGGTCTCGCTTTCTCTTCTCACCTTTCTTGGTTTCTGCTTCTGTGAACAAAGAGGAGATGAGTGTTGGGGTGTGTGTGTGGGGGGGGGGGGGAGGGAGAAAAACCCTCCACTTTGAAGAAAATGGGAAATATTGATCAGCAAACACAAACAGCAGTTTGCATTAAATACAACTGTTGTCCATTGAAGTTAAAACACACCTGTGCTTTGCAACAAGCAGTTGAAACCATTTCAAATCAATTTTCCAATTTCCAATCAATCAATTTTCCATCATCGATTCCAGTTCCTGAACCGACAACTGTCATTGAGTCTCTACAGTTCTCGTTCTGTCACAGGAAATCTAAAACTTTCACGCTCAGAAGAGATGATGGACATCCGCTGTGGCGACAGAACTTTCTTCCCTGAAGTCAGCAGATTTATTTAGACAACAAAAACTCCAGACAACAGCCTCCCTAACCCGGGGGTGTCCACCACAGAGTTCGAGGACGACCACGGCGAGAAGCACCAACAAACTCGTGCCCGCAGCTCAAAGCAGCTACCTCAACAAGCGAGGCGTGGAACTTGGTCCACTCAGACTCCATGTCCTCCACCTCAGCTGGGATGCAGTTCAAGCTCTCCCGGAGGTGCAAGTTGAAGATCTCTCTGACGGGTTCTTCTGACGGGCGTTCCCAGGAAACCCTCACTACGTGTTTGGGTCTACCGGGTCTGTCCAGCATCTTCTCCCTCCATCTGACCCAACCCACTACAGGTGGTGATCAGCTGATAGCTCCTCTCTTCACCCGAGTGTCCAAAACAAACGGCCACAGATCAGATGACACGACTATGAAGTCGATCATCGATCTAAGACGTAGGACGTCCTGGTGCCAGGAGCACTGATGGACACCCTGATGTTCCAACATGGTGTCTCATGGACAAACTGTGACCAGACAGAAGTCCAACAACAGAACACGCTCGGGTTCAGGTCTGAGGCCGTTCCTCCCAGTCACGCCCTGAAGGTCACACTGTCGTTACCCACGTGGGCATTGAAGTCCCCCACCAGAATAAAGGAGTCCCCAGCTGGAACACCTTCCAGTCCCCCCCCCCCCCTAAGGACTCCAAGAAGGCCGGATACTCTGAACTGCTGTTTGGCGTGTAGGACAATGAGTCAGAGCCCGTCCCCCCACCCGAAGGTGCAGGGAAGCCACCCTCTCATCCTCCGAGAAAACACCAACACACAGGCACCAAGTCGGGGGGGCTACAAGTAGACCCACACGAGCTCAACGTCTCACCACGGGCAGCTCCAGAGTGGAATAAGGTCCAGCCCCTTTCAAGGAGATCGGTTCCAGAGCCCATGCTGTGTGTCGAGGTGAGCCCAACTAGATCTAGACTAGACCTCTCAACCTCATGCACAAGCTCAGGCTCCTCCCCCACCAGAGGGGTCACATCCTCTGTCCCAAGAGCAGCTTTGGTAAACCAGGGCCAGAGCACCAAGGTCCCCCGCCTTCGGCCACTGCCCACGGTGTCCTGCACCCGGCTGGAATATGGTCCTGCTAATCGGATCAGACTCTCTGATGTGTGGATGTCCACATAAATAAATATAAGTTATATTGTGCACAGAAAGGCCTCAAACTGTGTTTTTGGTTTTCTTAAATAACTGATTGTACATCATAAAGACTGGAGCTAGACCAGTACGGAAATTTTGGCTATAACTGATACGATATTGGGCTGGGGAGGCGAATGCCGATAACCGACATGATGGCTGACATTTTTTTATCTTTGTCCCCCCCCCGAGAATCTTAGTGAACAGCGAGAGGAGCGGCTTGTTTATTTAGCAACCATGAAGCTAAGCTAATCAGATCCACACTATACGTGGTCCCACAGTAGATTTACACGTGCAGCTGTAAGCAGAGCATAAACTGGAAATAAAAACAGTCTTCCTAACGTGCATTCACATTTTCTATCCTCCACTAGTCACCATAAAATTATCAAGCGTGTTACAAAAATATAAATCAAACAATGAAACGCCCTTCTTGTTGATTGTTTAAACAGTCCTTCACGTACGGTGACGGTCTAATTATTATTGAACGCAGCAGTTCATCGTTTTCTTTGTAGAAAAGTAAAGATTTCAGACAAACAATGCATTTTATTGAGGACGATAAAGATAATGTTACTAACACTGATATATTTTACCTCTGCATTAAGATTTATTGTTAAGGATGAAGTTTTACAAGACAATAGCCTATGCTAAATGTTAGCTTGCTAACCTGAGAGGCACATAGCTAATGACAAGCGGGTTGGAGAACTGAAGAGAATTTATTATGGTTGATATCCTGATGCATGCTCAATAATCCAGGTAGAAAATTTTAAAAAAGTTAAATCTGGTCCTCTGGACATTCAAAAAAAAAAAAAATTGTAGAAATGTTTTGTTTCTGAGGAAATCTTTCGGATGAAAGACGAAACGTTTCTACAATTTTTTTGTTTTTTTGAATGTCCAGAAGACCAGATTTAACTTTTTTAGATTAGTACTGTTGATTTTTTTAATTTTCCATTTCAGTTAAAATAAACTTTCCATTCTCTGTTCAACAAAACACACTACAGTATTGCTCCCTGCTTCGGCTGTGATGGTCGAAGTGCAACTTGAGTGAATGGCCACAACTTGAAAGTGGTCTTCATGCGCCCTCTGCTGGATACGTTGTACAATTACAATGGTTCCAGGATTTTAGGGGTGAAAGTTAGAAGTGCTTATATTGGTGGATAATGGGACAATTGTCAGATACCGATAAGACCCCAAACGTCTATAATCAACCTAAAATATTGATATATCAGTCGGGCTGTAATACAGACCCTAAAACTAAAAACATAAATGATTATTGCACATTTGGCAACAGTGAACTGAAGTCTTCAGATTTCAACAACTGTAAGCAAAATATAGAATGTCGTGATTTGTGATTTGATGTTTTGTTAGTGAGGACGTTCTTGCCACCCGGGCGTCTGTATTTCAGTGTTTTCTATGTAAACCCACATACGCAGTAGTGAAAACGTAAAAGTAGTCTGAACCAAAATAATTATTTAAGAACACCCTCCTCTCCTCCCCAACATGCACAAAATATGCCGTACTGTTTGTGCTGATCCACGTTACACTGCAGTGTTTCCCCTGTGCCACCCCCCCCCAAAAAAAAGTGTGAATGATGGTATCTTAAAGAAGCTGCATACCCTCTTCATCTTCATCCTCATCTTCCACTTCTCCTTCATGGCCAAATTCTTCCTCCTTAGGAAATAAATAAATAAATAAACAAACAAATAAAAGTAGTGAAACTTTCTACAATTTTTTTAAATTTACCTCATCTTCACCACTGACTTCCTCGTCATCCTCCTCGCCTACTTCCTCTTCATCTTCCTCGTCGTCCTCATCCTCATCAAAGTCTTCTTCCTCTCCATCTTCATCTTCCTCCTCTACATGTGCAAAATAAAATGACAAAGACCAAGAGCAGCAGCCATCTGTTAATTGTATTCATTTGTAGGTAATATTGAGAAAACTACCTGTAAAAAGTGAACATCTGTCTTTGATTATGGAAACATCTGTTCATTCTCCTTTAAGAAAGAACTACGACAAATAACACGCTCAGGAACTTGAACATTTCCTGTCCTGGAAGACCTGCTGCACCCCTCACCTTCATCTTCCTCGTCCACGCCATCTTCCACCTCTCCGTCAGAGTCGGAGGCTTCCATGTCCTCCATGTCGTAACCATCCAGGTATGTGAGCTGGGGCAGCAGCTTGAAGACGCTCTCTCTGTAGTCGTTCAGATTTGTTACTTCACAGTTGAACAGATCCAAACTCTTCAGGTTGGCCAGCTTTTTCTGTCGATCAAACGCAGAGAGGAGAGTTTGCTACTGAACTCAGAACCATCAACGTATTTAAGAGGACGAGATGTTCTTTCAGCTCCGCCACCTAATTCTGTTGCACCTCTATCATTTACTGAACTACCTACTTGATGTTTCTTTATTTGTAAGACAACACATCAAGTTCTGAAATGTCTGTGACATGAGCTCAGAGAAGTGATTGCTCTGGAGCAGATGATCCTACGCTGTTCATATAAATGAAAAACCATAAGAACGGCTGCACTGATGAGGACAAAAATAAGATTTAGCAGTTTTGTTGTGCTTCAACATGTGGATACATACCAACGGTTCCAATGTGCTGATGTCTTTCAATTTGTTGCCACTCAGGTTTAGATGTGTGAGGCTTGGGAGTTTCTCTGCTAAAGCATCAAGGCCGCCACTGATTCTGTTGTCACTCAGTTCCAGCTGAAAGAGACGAGGTTATTGCAGCCAACTCACACCCAACATCTGTATGGAAACATGAGCAACCAGTCCTACCTTTTTCAGTTTTCCTAGTTTAGGTAGATTGGACACAGACATTAAGCCAACGTTTATCAAACTGAGAAATTCCAGGTTGACGAACTCAGCGGTGAGGCCTTCAATTTTCCCTTCAAGTGATCGGCAATTATCAAGGACAAGTTCCTGTACCTAAAAGTTAAAAAATAGAACATCAAGAAAACGCAACATTCGATTCTTTGAGTATCAACACAACAAATCTAAAACATTTAAAATGTTCAGTTCTTTTTAGACACACTGAAAGTATTAATTCACTTTAAAAACGATTCAAACATGACAACATTTTGAAAGCGCCAATTCAGTTTGAATCCACTTTAACAAATAATGCATGTATTTAAAGTTTTATGCAAAATGCTCTAGTTACTTTGAAATAACTGAGAAGTGTTTAGTCTTAGTTATGAAATCTCCTTATAATAATGCAAAGACAACTTTGAAAAACATCAAAACTCAAGAATATTTATATTTAGTTCATGTATATTAAAATAATACAAAAAAATCAAGTCAGGATTTACTTCTTTGGTTTTAAACAAGCAGGCATAAACAGATTTTTATTGAGTCAAAGCTAAAACATATTGATCCAGACTTAATGTTCATTTTTGAAAATGTTTGCAACATTTTTATTAGAATTTTTACACATAAATGTAAAAAAAATGTTCATAGGGATATTGTTAACGTGAAATAAATCACGAAAGTTTTGAACTAAACTAGTAAGTTTAGTTTAAAACGTTATTGTTCACCTGTAATACACATTTAAAGAGCTTTTACTGTGTTGCTTTAAATGACATGAAACAAGTCTGAAGGCGGAATTCAGGCTGGTTGCGCAATAACTGAACAAAGCCTCGCGAAAGTTATTCATCGAAAATCTTCATTACTCAAGTAAAACACTCAAATAGACTGCGGCTCCTGTTGTGAAAGCACTTTGTGACACTGCATCTTCTTTAAAACGTCCCGTGAAAACGAGCAGCAGTTTCTGCGGCCTGCTGACAGTCACCAATAACAAATGCGATGACTTCTGGAGCTAGCTGCTAGCATAGCCTCTTTTAAACGCGCTCGTGCGATGATTTCTGGAGCTAGCTGGCTAACAGCTAGCATAGCTCTTTTTGAAACGCGCTCGTGCAGCAGAAGCTCGAGCGCTCCGCCTGCCCGCCATTACACCGGCGGAAAGGAGAAGAAAAGCTTTTATTTTTCTCCATAAACAAGCTGCCACCACGGGGGAAATGGAGTATTCCTGGGCGAAAATGCCAGACTGTTAAAGACTCGCTTTCGTGTCGAAGTTGCGAAGAGAGAACGGAAATTTAGTTAAAAAAAAAAAAACAAAGATGGAGACGGTCTCTTTCTCCCATGGCTTCAAAGACGAAACAACATGGCGAATCCTACAGCTACAGTTTGCAGCTCGCTGAGCACGATCATGGCGGAAAGTCATGTTGACAATGAGCAATTGCAGCTACTTGAACGTTACCAAATGTGTGTTTCGATGTGAAAATTATGTTTTTAACTCGTGCCCGACTTGAGTGGAAACTCGTCTTTTTTTGCTGCCCACGTACGAAGCGTGGCGCACCGGACCTCCGTGTCACCCAGACGGGCTGGCTCGGTCAGATGCAGCCGCTGACCGCTACATCCGACTCGGTCCATGTCAAATGACCAGTGTGGCCACAGAAACACTGTGGAGCGCAGAAAGGCTCCGGTTCAAGCCTGAAACTGGATAAATCGGGTTGTCTTTGATCGCTCAGGAAAGGGGTAATATGGCGGGAACCAACTGAACAAGCTAGCTGGCTGTTGCTGCTCGTCGGCAGCACCAGACTTCATTTAAAAAACGTGTGATTTTACACCTGCACTAACAAAAAGGAAGCGCAGCGGTTGAGTAATCAAACAAGCTTGTACTATTTAATAACTTTGGCATTACTAGTCAAAACGTATCTTTAAAAAACAAACAAACGCTGTAGCGGTTACTTATTTTGTACAACTGTTTCTACTGTCAAGCTAAGGTTAGAATAACAGCAACTGTAGATTTTTTTTTTATTTCGCTGATGCTTTACCTCGTTTGATTGTAACTTTATTAAATACTCCACAGAAGCGTTGTAATATACTAATTCTGACTCGTTGATTAAAGTCAAATTTAACCCCTGAAGCTTTTCTGTGCATTTGATTAAAGCGCTGTGGTTGTAGCAGTTGTGCTAGCAGCAAACATGGCTTCCGAGAGGACTGCGCCGTGCGAGCCCAGCGCGGCGGCTGAGACCCGCTGTTCCAGAGGTAAAGTTCGGCCGAGCTGAACCGTGAGTGCGGCGACAGAAACGGTTAAAGCGGGGATAATGTCCCAGAGCTGGCCGGGGGGGACCCGCCGTTTGAGAGTAACCGTTGACTGTAGCTCGTCGCCCCCTACTATACGCCCAATCCACGAGGATTAAGCTCGTGCTGCTGGTTGTTTTACACTCCGATACAAAGAAACAACATGTAAGAGAAAAATAAACAAGACCCATGTGGTCACCATCAGCTCCGCAGAGCTCCAGCAGAGCAGGAGGAAAAAGTGCTTGGTTTTTAAAAAAGCACGACTCACATCAGACGGTGTCCTGTTTCGTAGCTCCAAGTGGATCCTCTTCTTCATTTCCATCTTCCCGCTGAGAAAGTTCAAACTTTGTTCTCTCTTGGATTATTATTATTTTTTTGCTTCACTTCAAAGGCAGAGATGCCCTGATAGAGAGAGAACACGGGGCTGTGTGATGAGCCGAACGCTAAGTTAGTAGGAGAGAGGGGAAACCATGGAGGGAAACGGGACTGAAACTAAATATGTGCTCCACAGCGCCCCCTGCCGCCACAGAGGCGCACTGAAGGAGCCGCGTCTGCTCCACAGCGCCCCCTGCCGCCACAGAGGCGCACTGAAGGAGCCGCGTCTGCTCCACAGCGCCCCCTGCCGTTAGAGAGGCGCACTGAAGGAGCCGCGTCTGCTTTACAGCGCCCCCTGTCGTTAGAGAGGCGCACTGAAGGAGCCGCGTCTGCTCCACAGCGCCCCCTGCC